TCTTCTCAGTGTTTCATCACCGTCTCACAAAAGAGGGCCGTACGCGTCAAGTGATAAGATCGGAAAAACGCTCAAGGCCCTGCTTGAAAAATGGGCGCGAAACGAGGCAAATGCTGTACGAACGTTTTTTGACTCCGTCCGAAAATTCAAAAATACAGCCGTCATTATGATAAAATGCTTACTGACTCAATCTTATTCACCTTATGATTGATTGATTGATTTACTGTCTGTCGCCTAACACCGAACATTTTAGACCGCTCTAAAATAATGACAAAAGTAGAGTTAAAAAGCAATAGCAATAACAGTAACAAAAACACCGAGTAATAAAAAGTCAGAGATGTTAAAAATTGCGTTTTTCAATGCAGCTAGTGAACTGGACAATACAATTTCTCTTGGGAGTTTTTTCCATTCTAAGGGTGGATTTATTTTTATTTCATACATACTGAGTGATTCTGTTTGAGTCAACCTGAGTGAAAACATGGTTCACGCCTTTATTTAACCAATCAGAAAAGCGAAACGGCTTTTTCACGTGTGAGTAGAACGTTTCGATCAATCACAGCGCACCCACCAAAAGCAACTGTGTTTTCGGTAGCTTTGTGTTTTCATTAAAAGTTTTTATTCTGGCAGCTTTGTCAAAAAGTCAGTGAAAAGTCAAAACGTTTAGATTTTTGGTTTGGATAATATCTCAAGAACATTGCCAGAAGAAGCTAAATAATGGCTGAAGGAGAAATCCTTCGCTTTCCCGCTTTGCAGAAATCCGTTAACCAATGCAAATTATCGAGAAACCGAAAAACAAACAAACGTTGTCGAAAACTAGACGAGATGTTGGCTTGCTCTCCGAGTTTCTGAAATCCAAGCAAGAAAGCAGAAAAGTAGAAGAGATTCAATCACAGGAACTCAATGATTTTCTGAGTGAGTTTATAGTTACTGTTACTGTTTATAGTAACTGTTTCTACTGTAGTACGGAGCTAGAAATGCATCAAGCGAGTTCTCGACTCATCCGATGAGGACAGCCCGCCTGCTGTAACATTTCAGTGACAATTTCTTGTCGAAGCTTTTTTATTGATAGTACTATTCGGTGTTTTAGGGGTCATTTAATGATGTAATCATCGTAGACAGTCGGTAAATTGTATTTCATTTTTTATCAATGTTTTGTCAATATTAGGGCATTTAGTTTGAGCTGGCCCTTGTTTCTTAAATTCGCTGGTCATTTTTTCTAAATAAAGAGAAGTTTCCTAAAAAAAAGAAGAAATAGTCACTCAGTATGTATGAAATAAAAAAATAACTTCATGGGCAGGGGGCTTGTACGGAATTTTCACACTCGTCGTTTGTATCAGAAATCTCACTCGCTCGCTGCGCTCGCTCATTCGATTTCTGATACATCACCAACTAGTGCGAAAATCCCGTACGCGTCCCCTGCCCATGAAGTAATCTCTATGTAACATACGGCGTATAGCTGTCACATTTGCCTGCTGAAACTTTTTATTGTCTTTAGGCCTAAATTCAATGAAAAATTCTAACGGGCAAATGCGACAGCTATACGCGTATGTTGCAAATAAATCCACTAAAATTGTCCTTGGTCACGATCACGATTACAGGTCACTGTTTTATTTAACAATTAGCGAATGAGGCTGAGTATCTTATGAAGAATTGTGAAGATCGAGGAGGGTGTTATCCCTCGAGGCCGTAGGCCGAGGCGGATAACACCCTCCGAGTTGATCTTTCGATAGTGCACGTTTAGGGTTGTTCAGCCCCGCAAATATTCTCCAAATAGGAGACGTCATCACTTCGAGTTGTCGTCTTGTTGTTCTTGCCATGTTTTTATCTATTATTTCGCCTAGTTCTTACTCTTGAAACGAGTGGAATGTCCGCCACTTTTCTTTTCACAACCAAAACAACTCAAATCTCGTTCCTAGGTCTTCTCGGTTAACGGTGCCTTAACCTGCAAGAAAGCTGCACTTTTGACGTCATCGGTTCATTAAAAGCAAAATTCTTTCAAATTTGGTAGTCAGTAGCTGGTTATGGTGAATTATGGCGTGGTTTTAGCCAATCAGAATCGGGGAAATATTTTGAATGAATAATAATGATAGTTAAGTAAACCAAGTAATTTCCCCTCGATCAAGAACAACATGTTGGATATGAGTTAGGGCTAGAAGACACTTCTGGTATTTATCTGTAGCACGGTGACCTGTATTCTGACCTGTGGAATGTGACCCGTAAAAACTACCTACCTCTTGGATAGAAGAAGTACACTTAAAATAATCCCTTGTGGCTATCGGCTGCTTGCCGTTTGTAGTGCTTGGGTTCGCATGAAACTCTTTTGTGTTATTGTCCATTTAGGGTGATCCTCGTCTAGAGTTGACAGCAACCCATTTCCTTAACAACAGCCTCGGTATAACACATGGGTAAGAAACAACAAAATTTGCATAGAGGCACAGTCGACTCTCTCTTAACGGACACCGCTATAAGACAGACACCTCTGTAAAACGGACACTTAGAGTTGGTCCCTGCCTTTCTTTATTCCCTTTACTTGACATCTTTATAAGACGGACATCTCTCTAAGACGGAAAGTTAGTACCGGCCCCAGAGGTGTCCGACGTAGCGAGAGTTGACTGTATTACATACTTACTTAAATAATGTTATTTCGAATCAGATAAAGGATTAGCTTCGGGCGCACCCTCTTTTTAAAAATATTTGGAAGTCTGGTAAAATTTATTGTACAGTATCTTTGTCTTTCCGCACTACCAACCATAATTTTTTTGACCTATAATTTCACGCGTGAACAATTTATAATCTCTCTATACACTGTATGCTTGCTGAAGATCGAGGTGGAGCGTGAGCACCGTACCATTTCAACTATTGGAGCTCTTTTTTATTGCTACTAAACGCTATCAAAAAGTGAAACAAAGGCCTGACACTGACATGTGTTTGGCTTTAAATACTTTTGTTTATATACATCACCTCCGACTTCTTCAATCTCAAAATGATCGCATTGTTTTTCATGGTAATCACAAGCCCTAATTCAGTCTGAATTGATTTCGTTGGACTATTATGACTAAACTCATTAGCCTGGATTATTTTCCATTTCGCTGATCATAACCTTATGGTAGCTTGACTTCCTTTCTCAGATCTGAGTATGAGTACAGTTTCTTGGTAAAACACTCCCCAGATTCTCAGGCAGACGCACGTGGCGTTCACGTGACTTGGATGCTGACGCCCTTCGTGAAGACCAGCAAGGTTATATCGTCCTCGCTTGTAGGATCTTATAGGGTGGAACAGAAAGATGATAGTGTGACATTCAAGGCAGGTTCATTTTACATTTTGGTGAACTGAAAACGACAACAAATTCGTTGATGTGACATTTTTTAAGTCATGCTTAATCGTTACATTATCTAATCAAAATCAGTCAGAGCCGTAAAGGGTGGAAATTCCTTAAACATGATTAGGGGATACTTCTTTTGGTTTGTTTTGCGAGTTACGCAAGATAATTCCGTTGGTTTTCCCGGCGTAAGTTTGAAAACCTTCAGCAAATAAAGCTGACTGTAAAGTATTGACACCAAGCGCCTGCGCCGAAGGGAGTCTCGCTATTACTGCCACCCAATAAAGCCATAATTAACAACTCTTTTGTTAAAAATTTCAGATCGACCATACACCGTTGGAAAGCGAAGCACATTTAAACTTTAGTGTGATTTTTGACGGTGAACACTCCTTGAAGACTGGCTTGCATAATATAGTAACCCCGGTACAATTGTTGTATTATAAGGAATACAGCGAAGATAAAGATGGACACGTGATATCAAAAGGAGTTGCTTTCTCCAGTCCTTTGCAGACAGTCGCTATTAAAGCCGAAATCCCAGGTAAAATTCTGTTTGCGGTAAGCCCAAAATGTTAAGCGAAGGTAAGCTCTTTGGAATTTAATGATTGGTCGGAATTCATGAAGTCAAAGGCTGCTAGGGCTTTTCCATTGGAAATTGAAAGGGTTGCAGAGAACAACTCGTTACCCAGACCGGTTTTTCTGACACAAAAGCACCTATTGGTCACTGTTTTTCCAGTTTCGTGCTATGCATAAATTCATGTTTTGCGCAAAAAACTCCATTTAATTATACAGGTTCGCATGAAACTCTTTTGTGTTATTGTCCATTTAGGGTGATCCTCGTCTAGAGTTGACAGCAACCCATTTCCTTAACAACAGCCTCGGTATAACACATGGGTAAGAAACAACAAAATTTGCATAGAGGTACAGGCGACTCTCTCTTAACGGACACCGCCATAAGACAGACAACTCTGTAAAACGGACACCGAGAGTTGGTCCCTGCCTTTCCTTACTCCCTTTATTTGACTCTTTATAAGACGGACATCTCTCTAAGACGGACACTTAGTACCGGCCCCAGAGGTGTCCGACGTAGCGAGAGTTGACTGTATTACATACTTACATAAATAATGTTATTTCGAATCAGATAAAGGATTAGCTTCGGGGGCACCCTCTTTTTAAAAATACTTGGAAGTCTGGTAAAATTTATTGTACAGTATCCTCTTTGTCTTTCCGCACTACCAACCATAATTTTTTTGACCTATAATTTCACGCGTGAACAATTTATAATCTATATATACACTGTATGCTTGCTGAAGATCGAGGTGGAGCGTGAGCACCGTACCATTTCAACTATTGGAGCTTTTTTTTTGTTGCTACTAAACGCTATCAAAAAGTGAAACAAAGACGTGACATTTTTTTACTGACATGTGTTTGGCTTTAAATACTTTTGTTTATATACATCACCTCCGAATTGTTTTTTATGGTAATCACAAGCCCTAATTCAGTCTGAATTGATGTCGTTGGACTATTATGACTAAACTCATTAGCCTGGATTATTTTCCATTTCTCTGATCATGACCTTATTGTAGCTTGATTTTTTTTTTTTAGATCTGAATATGACTACAGTTTCTTGGTAAAACACTCCACAGATTCTCAGGCAGACGCATGTGGCGTTCACGTGACTTGGATGCTGACGCCCTTCGTGAAGATCAGCAAGGTTACATCGTCCTCGCTTGTAGGATCTTATAGGGTGGAACAGAAAGATGATAGTGTGACATTCAAGGCAGGTTGATTTTACATTTTGGTGAACTGACAACGACAACAAATTCGTTGATGTGACACTTTTTAAGTCATGCTTAATCGTTACATTATCTAATCAAAATCAGTCAGAGCCGTAAAGGGTGGAAATTCCTTAAACATGATTAGGGGATACTTCTTTTGGTTTGTTTTGCGAGTTACGCAAGATAATTTGGTTGGCTTTCCCGGCGTAAGTTTGAAAACCTTCAGCAAATAAAGCTGACTGTAAAGTATTGACACCAAGCGCCTGCGCCGAAGGGAGTCTCGCTATTAGTGCCACCCAATAAAGCCATAATTAACAACTCTTTTGTTAAAAATTTCAGATTGACCATACACCGTTGGAAAGCGAAGCACATTTAAACTTTAGTGTTATTTTTGACGGTGAACACTCCTTGAAGACTGGCTTGCATAATATAGTGACCCCGGTACAATTGTTGTATTACAAGGAATACAGGGAAGATCATGATGGACACGTTATATCAAAAGGAGTTGCTTTCTCCAGTCCTTTGCAGACAGTCGCTATTAAAGTCGAAATCCCAGGTAAAATTCTGATTGCGGTAAGCCCAAAATGTTAAGCGAAGGTAAGCTCTTTGGAATTTAATGATTGGTTGGAATTCATGAAGTCGAAGGCTGCTAGGGCTTTTCCACTGGAAATTGAAAGGGTTCCTGAGAACAACTCGTTACCCAGACCGGTTTTTCTGACACAAAAGCACCTATTGGTCACTGTTTTTCCAGTTTCGTGCTATGCATAAATTCATGTTTTGCGCAAAAAACTCCATTTAATTATACAGAGAAGTACTGCCAGCAATGACAGATGGAAGCAGCAAAGAGTCCAGCGGCATAAGTAGAAGATTAAACTTGTTTAAGAACCAAGGAATCTCTTAGTGCCGACGTTTGGAAAAAAACGACTGTCGCGGAAGAACGAAAAGTAAATATCCCGGGGGGGAGGGTACTCCTGGGAATTTTTGGTGGGGGCGTGCTGCCCGGTTCTCCAAATCCTGACCCGGTTTCAGACCAAAAAAGTAATTTTCCACACCTGTTTTCAAACCAGAACTCTAAAATCCATACCCGTTTTCAGACCTGGCCTTTAGGCAGAAATTATTTTTTTTCTTGTATTTTAATGAATTTTTATTTTGGTATGTATTTTTTTTTTGCACACTGACTTATGAACACGTAGGAAAAATTCAAAAAACGGAAAGGAAAACTAAGAATTTATACATCGCAGACTAACACACAATTACATACTTACAAAAAAGAAACAAAGCAAAACACAACACGTAGGTAGACAATACACACAAAACGCACAAATACTCACAAAGCAAAAAACAACAAAGGAAAAGACAAAACGAAAAATAAAACAAAGACAAACAAACAAACAAAGAATACATTACACAACGAAGTTTTAAGAAAGAGAGAAAGAAGGCGGCGAGGTAATTATTACCTATAAGACGCTGCCACAGAGCTTGGGACAATAGCTTCAACTACACCCAATTGTTCTAACCTACACATGCCACTCCCGTTACAAAAACAGACTAATGAAAAGCATAAACAAAGTCAAATAAGACAAACAAAAAGTTCACGGGAGTGAAACATCCACGTCTTCACTCACACATGGTCGCCCCAGTCTCAGAAATTATGATATCGTTACTTCAAATCCATTTCTAATTCGCATATTTTTCTTTCTTTCTTACTCATTTGGAATTGAAGCGATAAAGACGTTCATACAATCCAGTAGTTTCCTCAAAAACCATGCCCGATTCCAGACCAAAATGGACAAAGTGTATACCCGTTTTCAGACCAAAACGGCGCAAAAACCCTACCCGATGGGGCGGCACATACCTATATATAGTTTATATAAGGGAATACACCTCCCCAGGGTAAATATACACTGAAAGTCAAACTTGTTGTTACACTGTCTTATAAACAGGAGCCACGCGAGGCTCTGCGATACACGTCTTTCTAGTAAAAAGTTGAAGGGGAATCAAAGGTAAAATACTGTTTGGGCTTGGACCGACTTCACCTATTAAACGCGTGTAGGTTTAATTTTAGGATGTTCAGCTGCTCTTGGAATGGCGTCTGGTGAAATAAAAGATTATCAAATTACGGCGTCATCCAGTTATTCGGAGACACAGCCAAATCAAGCCCGACCAAGTAAGATTGACTCTCTCTCCCTCCTTCTCAGTCCTTTTCAGAAATGCTCGGCTGGGGTGACCGTATATTAGACGGTTTAAAATATTATCATCTGAAAAATTAGGAATGACATCAGTTGGCGTATTGGGAGAAGGGGGAACTTGTTTCGATCCTGTGTCAATACGAATTAATACGAAAATACTGAGTCCTAACTATAGCCCCATTCACACCGAAGCTTAAACATGTTTAAAAGCTGTTTAGTTGAACACGGTGTGAATTTTCTTTCCTTTATAAAAGCTGCTAACTAACTGAATTGATTGCAAATTTAGTACAAATTACAAAATATGTTGAATTTCATTTGAATCCTGTGTGAAAACCTACATTCCAGTTTTCCATGTCTGTTCTTCATTTGTTAAAACCTGGTTTAATTAAACATGTTTAGTTGGTGTGGATGGGGTATATGTGTCTTCCTAAGTAGTGTTCACTGCACAGTAAAAGGCAGTTATCCTTACATTGAACAAAATTTATAAAATCAACAATTTCGAATTTCCCACAATCATACACTTGCTTGCCCCCACCTCCCCCCATCCCTTAATTTTTTTGCATAAGCAACGTTTTCAAGTTTATTTTGGGACCAGGAGAAAATGGAAAAATTTCATGCTTGAGGAAAAGTTTTGGAGGCAAACAAAGTGTATTAAGGGCCGTTTAAAAAAGATATACATTAAAATGTATAAATGGTATAGCATGAAGGCGTGACAGCAATTCTATTGGTTACAATAAACAGAAATTAAAACTGGAGCAATTAATCACGTCTCCAGCATGGCATCAATTTGATCATATTATGACTGGCGTAAGTAAGGGATTCTCATTTTAATCGGTGGATTTTCTTACTATCAAAGGTGAAGAAAATGATGCGTGGTGCGCGTTTATTACCGACACGCAGCAGTACATTCAGCTGGATTTCACGAGGAACACACGCGTGACACGCATCGTTACTTATAGAAGAAGTCAGAAGTCACATTGGGTAAAGCGTTACATAATGCAATTCAGTAGTGATGACGTTGTATGGCATAATTATACAGAGAACGGGTTTGTTAAGGTAAGGAAAAGTCAGAGCTTTGTCTTTCGAAGAACGCCCTCCCCCACGATCCAAATTTATTGTTAAACACGGATGAAAACAATTTTAATTTCGCTTGTAGGAATTTGTTGGAAACTCAGACAGGTCAACCCCAGTCTCCCATCAGCTTACCAATGAAATCGAGGCTTATAATCTCCGCGTGAGACCGCTGGACTGGGAGAGATTGATTTGCATGCGCTTTGAGGTGTTTGGATGCTTAGCTGAAGGCCCTGGTATGTTTACGAGTTGATGATTGTATTTAAACACACTTAATTGGTATTGAATAAAACGCGTTGCAATGCTGAGGTACAAGCTTAAAATAAAACAATGGCAACTTCGGAGTATTTCTGAAAATGCCGCAGCCGAAGTCCATTAATTTACTGGTTCTATGTCAGCCTTCGACGATTTCTGTAAAACATCCTGCACAGAATTTCCTTTCTATCGCGAGAAAACTGGACCAAAGAACGCAGGTACCAAAGCAGCTGGGACGGGGTGGGTAGGAGGAAGAGTTCGCCCGCTCTCTTCCTTACACCCTCGCGCTGCACATGCGTGTTTGCCTGGAAAAAAGGAAAGCCCGTGAAACTGATACTACACCATGTTCTTGCTTGCTTTCTCCATTCAAGTCATACATAACCAACTTTTTCAATACAGAAAACTGCATTTACCCTCTCGGTCTGGAATCTGGAGAAATAACGGATGAAGCTCTCACACATAGCGTAGACACAACTCTGACTGTTTCAGATCCCTCCGGTATCCGCCTTAACAAGAATCCCGGGGGATTTCCTAATGGATGGCAAGCAGCAATGGGGACACTAGATTATATTCAGGTAGAAAAATCGTAGGTAAACTTAGCAACCTTGTTTTGCTTATGATTATTCCAACTCGCTTACTTTATCAAATATAGGCCAACTCTTCAAGGGCTGAGTTCCTTGGAACGACATCCAAGTTCAGAAAAAGAAAGAAAATTTCGTCGGGCTTTTTAACGTTCTCCATATAACGTGAAATTAGGCATGTTTACGTCGCGTAGTCCTGCAGCGACGGCAAAGAAATGTACAAAAAAGGTGTGCTGCACGTGCAAATTTGTTGTTTTGTTTATTTAATCTATTGCTTTTCTGACGTTATTGTTGTCGTCGCCATCGTAGCCATTTTAAGGTCCCTAGTACTGCATAGGAGCAAAGAATGGTTTAAGAAAAACTTTGTTTTCTCATTTTAGATTGATTTTGGCTCTTTGAGAAAGGTGACAAGAATAGCTACACAGGGATCTGCTGGATCGGATTTTCCATTTTACGTGGAGAGTTTTCAATTAAAGTACAGCAACACAAGCATTGATTGGCTTGACTACAGTGAAAATGGACAGCCCAAGGTGACAATAAACCTTTTAAGAGTTTAAAGCACTTCAAAAGTCAGTCATGGAAATTTGAAATGAGCTTCCTGCCTGTAGCTCCTTAGATCAAATCATTAGACAGTGTTACCATTCAAATGACCAATCCTATCCCACGAGCAAGAGATTTTTCCCTAGACGATTTCACCTTACACGAAAAATGTTGCTTCCCCTTTGAGTAAAATGAGTAAAATGGCTATTTTAACCTCACCTTTTGTTATAACAAAAAAGAGTTTAATTTTAAAAATAACATAGCCCACCAGAATAGACTAGTCTTCCCTCGTGTCACTTCCAGTAAAGCTGTGTCACTAAAATAGATTGTTGCAAACTTAATAAGTTTCCCGTGAAAAATAAAACCTTTCCTGCCTGGCTTAAATGTATTTCGTTTATTGCAAAACTACAAACTATAGTATTGTTGTTGCAGGAACTGAGAGGTCCAAAGGATACACACGAAGCAAAATATTCTGTTGTGGTAAAACTGCTTGAGCCAATCATCACCCGCTTCGTGCGCATCATCCCAACTTCTGCGCCGCTTCTCAAAATAATGCGGGCTGAGCTTTACGGCTGCATAGCAGAGCCCATGCCCCCTTATAACGGTAATTATTATATGACTAAGTCAATTCTTGTTTTGTGATCGGTCAATTTTTAATATCCTTGACATTTTTAACATTAATGCATTCTTTGTTGCGTGGTTTATGTACTCATATCATAATAACCTCCTTCCTCATAAGTTTAACACCACCTTTGTTACTAATCGCCAAGTACACACATATAATACTTGAGATGCCAATAACTACCGACCATATTTCTGTAGAAGAAACATTAAACAGTTCACAATCCTCCATCTAGGACCTAAACTTTGAAACTCCCTTCCCCATAATTTTATGGAACTAATCTAGTGACAAGTTACTCTAGTTTCAAGACTTCATTAAAAAAATACTTTATCGAGGGCTATAAATTCAAATCGCTTGACCATGATATGGCAGCTTACATTAAATCATAAAAGTTAAGTAACTTAATACTACATTTAGTTTTGAACTTTTTTTGTAGCTTTTCCTGCCATGTAAATTTACAGTCTTAGTTTTAAAATATATATATTTTTCCTTTTCTTTCTGTAATATTTATTCTATGTGGCAAATGTAAAATAAATAAAGTAAATCTGAAATAACTTTATTATTGACTGCCTTGTCGAACGGGTAAAATTAAGCGAAGCACGTGTAACACTGTTTGGCTAACCGAGTGGGAAGTATAACCCTATCTTGGTTGCCCAGGACTTTACCAATAGCTATTGTAGCTATTTCCTGTTTCATAGAAAGAAAGCCATACAATAAAAGCTTCTAAGCCTCTATTTCTAGGATTTTCGTAGAATTATGGATCGTCGTTTTTCACACGATATTTTCGTCGAGTTCCAAACTGTTTGCAGCAGTAACCGTAAAACGAATGCAATAAAACAAGCATCTTTGATAATTCTCTAGCAAGAAGTCTCCACAATAAGTCGAGTGGAAATTCAAGTTAAAAGAAACAGCGACTTCTCTGCGGCCAATCACAACAAACTGTCACTAGTTTACATGCACAAATTAGGTTCGAGCCTTAAATTGGATCTTGGCTGGTTTTTACACGCCTGTTGGTGGGTCATGTAAATAAACAAAAATGTCAGGTTTTTGTATATCTGTTTACTTGCAAACTTCTGTAGATTTACCAAGTTAACGAAATTAAAACAACGAAGTGGGGAATGGTGTGGGTCTCACAGAGCGGGCGCCTATAGCAAAATACTACAAGCTGACATACACCAATTGTGACTGATCATTAACCACCAAATGAATGTTTGTCTGTATCTTCAGGTGTTCCAGAGTACCACAGAAGAACTGTCTTGTTGGATCAAGAGTTCGGCTGGTTGTATGTCTGCATGTACACTAGAGACAGGTACACGACATACTAAAGTCATGAAAATCACTATAACCTTAAACACCTAACCGGCAAAGATTGGTTAACTTTAATTAAAATCAAAGATAGAAACTTCGTCAATTGTTGGCGCTATGAGAGGTGGTTTACTTGTCTAGGATTTAGAAGTAGAAACGATGTAAACATTTTACAATATGTTTCACTTGAAGTATATATATGATGAACGACTAAAGAAAGATGAAAGAAAATGTCTTATGCTAACAGAAATGAACCCTGATGTGTAAGATATAACAACGTAAAAAAAGCGTCATTTAATTGTCAAAAATGCCATTTCAGGTCTAAAGGTGTTCGAGACTAGTTTTTGGGACTTACAATTAATTGGCGCCAAAGAATATTGCTCTAAATTTAAACTGCATGGTCTACTCCATCCAATTTTGGTAGGAAATCATTCATCAAAGACCTTTCAACAGGGCCGGCTTTAGTGAGCTTCACTCCCAACGTCGTTTTTTTGCCTTCTTCCCCAGCCAACGAGCTGCAATTTTCGCTCACTCCCTGTGGGGTAGAGAGGGGAGGCCGTTAACTGTCTGAAAGAATTAGAATTAAAATACTTTTCGAAAAAGTAGAATTAAAACACTCAAGGAGACAATCTGTGCGTGGCTTAAGCCATTCTGAAAAAGATAGCCAAATAAGAATTGTATTGAATAATCAAAGTTTTGAAACAAAAAAATATTTTTGGACGTACCCTTCTTTTCATTTCTAGGTTACCCTGAAGTCTTAAGTGTCTCTGTGTGAATCAAAATATTGGCGTTATGCACTGTACCCTAAGTGAGACTAAAATCTGTAATTCAACCCAAAAATGACGTCACGCTTCCCATCCCTTTCATATGCCAGTCCAACCCCACAGGTCCAATTTCACTTTAGTCTTGCACTTCAGTAATAGTTACGATTGACTCTTGTGTGGTTAGATCAGTAAGCAGCTGTTTCTCAACAAGTGATGGAAAGGATTGGAGAGGTGAGTTTTCCACGTCAAGTACGGGGGTTGGGGGTGAGGGGGGAGGGGGGGTCTATTTCGGACCAAACAATATGATTTTCCCTGCCCTATTTCAGACCTGAAAAGCTTTTCTCAAAAGGTTAAAAAATAATGATCAGATAAGATCCTGGATCAAAAAGAGCACAAAATCTTCCCCTGATTCATACCCAATCCGATTAAACTCTACACCCAATTTCAGACCATAAGGGGTATACGGTAAAATTTTGTACCCTTTTGCTCCGCGCAAAAAGTCAGTACCTATATAGCTTATATAAGGAAGCATCCCCTGAAATTTAACCTTTTTCTTGTGAATGCGTGAGAAACGCTGGGAGATGTCAGATTTTTTAAAATCAAAATTAGGAACTTCTTAGATGGAATCTGAAAACAATGCTCCAGTAACTAAACTGTATATAGTCATGGAAACGCATGCGCATAGCCATATCAACCATGCTGTTGAGGGCAGTGGCGGCAATGGACTGTTGTTTTGCCCTTATTTGGTACAAACGTGGAAAGGAAAGACCCCAAATTTCCCTTTACCAAATAAGCTAGTGCAAAAGGGCTTTTCTGAAGTACCAGCTCCACATTAGCTTTGTCGAAGTTGTTATTAGAATTTTTAAATGCTATTAAAATTATCAGCATGACGTATCCTCCGAATACGTACCTATTTTTTTCAGATATTTCAGAGCACATTATCAGTGTCATAGCTTTGGACCAAAGAGGCGGCTGGCTCTTTGGAGTGGACCGTGCAATGAACTTCCTTCGCAGTACCGATAATGGAGTTTCCTGGAAGAAAATCTCCTCCAAGCACTTCTATGACATAAAAAACGAAACGTTCCTCAAACTGAGCACTGGGATCCCTGAAAATATGGTGTCTGTCAGTCCAGAGACGTTTTGGTCAGCAACTACTTTCAGCGGAAGAAAGTGGGGAGGTTAGAACATTTTCATAGGTTTACGTAATTTTGAGGCATGCACTGCTAGAGCACCGAATAGATGAAACATAGCATAAGATCCTTTTTAACTGAGCTCTTGCTTTAACCGTGGCATCGTTGGCTAAGTACCTAAAGTGTTGGACGGGAGAGCGGTAGATCGAGGGTTCGATCCCCTGTGCTGGATCAATACTCAGGATCTTACTGAAAAATGAAGATACTGCTTGTGCCCCGGCTAGACCTTCGCATGCCTCAGATGACCTAGTAAAAATGGCGACACCCTCTCCAACAACACATGTAAAAAACGTGTGGCAGTACTTTCGTGTTTATTACAAAGAGAGAATTTACTGTCTTATTTTCTAGCCCGGTTAGCATGGGGTTTAACACCCAAGATTATGATTTTAATAAATTAGGATCATCCTTTGACGATTAAGAAAATAGCAATACGAAGACTCACTGTTTACAAACATCGTTTTTGTTATTCAAATGTGTAACGGGTGAAACAAATTTTGTTTCACGAACCAGTTCGCTTCTGGTTGGCACATTAAAAATCAGTTAGTGACGTCAGCGTGAGTACCGCTACAGTCAATAGCCCACGTTCGACATACTTTGTTAAAATGCTAACATGACTCCGAGGCTTTCTGATCATTTTTTCTATATTTGGTTTTATTTTCTTTTAGTACAAATAAAGGGGTTTCCTACGTAGCGTTTGTGTGTGCTAAAAGTGGGAAGGTGGTAAGTTAAACGCTGATATTTGCAAATAAAACTCCAACGTTTCGGCAATGCTGCCTTCATCAGGGAAAATATGTGAGTTCGTTATAGCGGAAAAATGAAAATTTGAAAATGCGCGCGTGAAAACAATCGAATGTGCGTGCACTCAAGTCATGTGAAAGAAAAATCTTGATTGAATTCACTCAGCTCGTCTCTTCTGGGAATTGCGAGACAATGGAGTCGTGAAAAATATGCAATTTTGACCCTAAAACCTCGGAGTCATGTTAGAATTTTGATATATCGAACGTGGGCCATTGTCTATGTGTTGTTCAGTATGTTATTTTTTAGTTTCAGCCTATGGTATCCACATGGTGACCGCAGGCCAAAGCGAATGGAGCATGGTTGCCTCATGGAAGTGTTGTGGAAGCTAACGTTATGCATGCGCACATAAACTCACATTAATTTGTATTGTAACCGTTACTCATAATCCTTTCAGACCTTTCATAGTATTTCGACTAGTTTTGCAAATTTTTTTTTTTCCCTTTTGATATTGAGTTTTCAGATTTCATTTGCGGGAAAAGCTTCTATATTTCTGACCGTCTGAAAAGTAAAAACAAGTGGATCTACTAAATAGCACCTTTAAGTTTTAGTATCAACATTACAAATATCGAGGTGGATATTTAACGAAAAGAAAACTTCATGCGGGAAAATGAACTTCTACGTCGTGTTTAATAACCAGTTTAACCGGTAGTTAAGAGATAGAGAAGGTCGTTGGATAACTATATGCTTACATCACTTTACGCAAGCTGGCTCATTAACATATCATTGTGATTCTTTTGCCTTATCAGAACGAAGCTTCTTTTAAGCATCGAGTTTGTAAATACAATGAAAATGGAAAAATAAAGGACATAGTAATACTCAACCTTCCACTCGATACTCTTCTAGTTCCTGCTAAAAAATACACTAGAAGCGTGATCTTCATCAAGCTGTTAATTCATTTTTCTTGAAGGGACGCCTTTTTTTGATTCCACTGTTATCCTAGTCAGTGGATCTGTTGTGGCTCGATATTATCCTGGTCGAAATTTTATTGTCCTTGATTTCTGGGTGTGGTAATGTACGATGATGAGTTTCAAACAAAGAAAAACAAAATTTAAACCAAAGATAAAACAGAACGATTACAGAGTGTACTCCTGGAGGACCCTTTGTACTGCCGTAATTTGATGTCTGGCCCAGCCATGGCCAAGCCACACTTGAACCTAAACTATAAAACAGAAGCTCCTAAACCTTTCCCTTCCCTTTATTAGGCTTTAAGCCTTCTGCTCTTAGAGTTCGACAAGTGGACAAAAGAAAAACTAACTCCCGGGGGGGGGGGGGGGAACCCCCCGTAGGAAAGGGGGGGGGAATAAAAAAAAAAAGAACCGCACCAGATGGTGTTTTTTTGTTTTTACAAAACCCCCCCGACAAAAAAAAAACCAGGGAAAAATTAAATTCAAAAAAAGTTTTTCGACGGCATTGAAAAGAAAAAATAATTATTTTTTT